ACAAGAAACACTAACGATGATGGACGAGAGCCTCCTTGAGCTCTCTTCCTCACAGATCATTATAAATGCACAGGCAATGGTACCCAATGCACCTGTCACCATCTGTAGATTTTGTCCCCAGGAGAACAGATTTTGGGGGGGGCAAAGAACTGAAAACTTTGGAAAAATAACAGTCACAGGCTCTGCACAGTACAAACACATACACCATCACACAACTTCTGTGCAGCAGTCAGACTGTCTTCTATAAAAAAAAAAAAATAGAGGCTTTTGCTATAGGGTGCATGTGCTAGCCAGAGAGAGACAGACAGAAAGCAAGAAATCACTCCCTAGGGGGAATGGCCACACCATAACCCCTTCTCCATTCTCCTCTCGGGATCTTGGCCACCCACGCAAACATGTCCACCAGGAATTTTAAGCCACTGGGCCCAGGACTCAAACCACGGGAATCCAGGGACATAAACATTGCACCATCTGCTGGCCCCTTATTGTGCTCATGCTAACAGACAATTTGTAACTGAGCAAGTCTAGATCAAAGCTACAGAGCTAAGTCTATGAGAAAAACAAGAAATCCCAGTAGGAACACAGTGCTAAAGGGCAAGATAAGATCTACAACCACTTACTCCATAAGCTTCCCGCCCTGCAGTAGGTTTCCAGGGGCTCAAATGATGCCGGGTGTTTCAGTTTCACCTGCTCGGCCGATGGCCTCTGTATGTGCGTGGACATAGGGAAGCGTGGGAATATCTTGTTACATCAAGAAGATGCTCCTTAGGGCCTACATGGGCGGTTCCTTCCTTGTACCAGGCAGACTCAGATCCTCCTGCTTCTCCTAGGTGTGAGTTCCTGTCTCCAGAAATTCTTGAAGATTTCCAAATCTTTCTGCAGTACAGGAGGGGGCAGTTTCAGGTATCTCTGACCCCAGATAGCTTGGGTAAATTGGGAAGGGTGGATGGGGACTTCAATTTTTCCTGCAGATGGCTTCCCGATCCATGGATGGGAAACCCTGGTGTAGTTTCATGTTTTTTGAGAGGCTTTTGCTATAGGGCGCCCTCACCAGAAAGACAGAAAGAGAAAGAGAGACAGAAAGCAAGAAATCACTGCCCAGGGGGATGGCCATGACACAATCCCCCATTCTCCTCTCCAGATCTTGAGTTTAAGCCACCAGGTCTGGGACTCTAATGGTAGTCGACTACATGGGAGTCCAGCGACATAGCCAGTACGCCATCTGCTTATTCTGTCCAGTACTAGTAGTTTCTTACTGAGGTCTTTGCCCCTGAAGTTCAAATGTCCGGGGAAATATTTTGCCTGTGAGAATTTTTTGACTAATGCTAACTGGGTTGCCATCAAAATAATGGTTGAAACTCAGAGAGCACCTCAAAGACCAGAATACCAATTGCCCACCTGTCCTAGGCCCTGCCCTGGCCTTGCTCTGGATGATGGGGCTAGGTCCTCTGGTGTCCCTCAGCATGCATGTCCCGTCACCAGCTCCCTGGGGAGTCGAAGTCTGTGAACTTGATGAGGTTCTCTCTCCAGCAGTGTTCCCGGTGTTATGTCCCTGCCCGCGATCTCCCGGAGTGAGAGTGCTCCAGGGCGGGGGATCTCCACAGAGTAGAGATCAACGTGAAGCCCCCTGGGGTCTGCAGGTAGTGGAGGAGCTCGCAGTCTGGCCTGGGCTCCGGGGGCTCTTACAGGGAGCTCCTCCTGGCACGTCCAGATCAGCCTGGCCACCATGGGCCGACTTCCTCAGGACGGAGTTCTCGGGCACTTGCTGTTCCTGGTTCAAGAGGGTGGCTATGGGATGCTCTTAATCTCAAGGGCACAGAAGGGCTTGGCTGCCTTTTTCGCTAGGTGCAGGTGCTTCAAAGTCCCCGTGCCCACGGTGGCCCTCGTGTCAAAATCCTGCAGGTGATAGGTAGGTGGCTGGGACAACGGTGCCTCAGGGATGAGGCAAAATGCTGGGATGTTCTGCATGGTCTCTCGAGGGTCGCTGTCTCCAGCGGCCACCTTGACCAGCCTGGGCACTCACATGCAGGGACACAAAAGTCAAGGACACTAGGAGGGACAGGCATCACCAAGGCCGGAGGTCCCAGGACGCAGCCTCTCAGGCCAGTGCAGCAATGGCCACCCATGCACACTCTCTGCATGGCAGTGGCTGCTTGGTGCAGCTGGCGGGGCAGCGGGGACAATGGCAAAGGGGGGGTTCACTGCCGCAGTCACACCTGGCAGATTTATCAAGCTGTCGGGGCCAGGTTCAAACTGCAGTCTCCATGTGGGATCCCCTCCCAGGGCACAGCTCACCCAGCACAGGTCAGCCCTCAGCACAGGTCTGGACCGGATCATGCCCTGCGTTTCTATCAGTTTCACCAGTGAAGACACTCAGCTTGCTTTGCAACAACATACTACCAGTTCCCACCTGAGGGGTCGTGAAGGAAATGGAGAGCAAAATAGAGGGGAGACGTTCTTACCTAACTGGGACAATCAGAGACCCAGTATCATGAGTTTGAGCAGAAAACGGAGTCACAGCCATCAGGTTTGGAGAACATAAAACCATCACAAGGGGAGGCAGTTTTTGTTAGTCCCTCTTTTCAGATTTGAGTCCAACTTCCAGATCATTTCCATTATTTCAGTCCCTACTCCCTAGATTTCTCCATTCACATAACTACATCAGAATGATCTGCTCATACTTCCAAGGATTATGGAAAATAATTAACACCCACAGACACAAACAGTGCTCATGATAAGGCTCTGAATGGGGCCTGGGCAGTAATCCCTGGAGGCCAGTCTTCTATTTTACAGTAGATTTCTTAAGCACCTGTGCACCATGTGGTCGACTGTGGTTTGAGTCCAGGACCCGGTGGCTTAAACTCTCACTGGGCGTGTGTGCGTGCATGCCCAAGATCCTGGGAAGAGAACGGAGGAGAAGGGATTGCAGTGTGACCATCCCCCCGGGGGATTGATTTCTCGCTTTCTGTCTCTCTGTCTCTCTGTGTCTTTCCGGAGAGTGCATGTGCCTTATAGCAAAAATCTCTGAAAAATAAGTCTGTGTTAGTGGCAGTGGCATTCTCCAATGGAGACACCCAGTCCACTTGACCTCCACTTTTCTCTGTTGATCCTTTTTCAATCCACAGCCCTTCCCCTCTGGGCAACTCTCCATGGCCAGGCTGCAGCACATGGCATTCCAACAGGAACGCAAGCAGGGAAGATAATGTGAGTGGACACTCCTGTGGCTGGCTAGTAATGAGAAAGTAAAACAAAATTACTAAGAGCAAAATAAGGAGCGGATTGGGACCAGCAGTTAGCGTAATGGACTGTCGCTGGACTCCCACGTAGTCAACTGCGGTTCGCGTCCCGGACCCAGTGGCTTAAACTCATGCTGGGCGCGTGTGTGTGCGTGCCCAAGATCCCAAGAGGAGAATGAAGGACAAGGGATTGTGGCATGGCTATCCTCCCTGGGGGTGATTTCTCGCTTTCTGTCTCTCTGTCTCTGTGTGGCTGGGCGGGGG